AAAACTGGATGTTTATCATTAACTGAAGTTAACTCTACCATGAGCTCTGCAGTCTTTGAATGTAGGAAATCTTGTCGATATCTTGGAAAAGGTAAATACTGTATCATTATAAAAATCCATCTTTATTGGCATTTATGATGCACACTAACCAATATATTTGCAAACTCTGCCCTGAATATTTACTCTGAGATTGATGTTCTGCATACAGCCCCCCACTCCCGAAAATATGTACCTCATTTGTAAATAATTTACGTGGTATTTAACTTAACATTGTGGTTTGCTGCTGCACTGTAATTTACTTTTCAGAGAAATTTCATAAGGGTTTTTGCAACAGATACAGTATGCGTTTGGAGTGTGTACCCTATGCAAAAGGAATTATTTATACAAAAGACTCTAACAGATCAGGTATGTCGGGGTGGGACCACCATACAGTACTGTAGAAATTCTGGGCAGAAAGGCTGCTCCTAGGCAGCTGGTGATAGGCTGTCAAAATGGAAGTAATTCTCAGGGCTCTACCTCAGTCATTTCATGGGTCTCTCTCACTCCTGGGATAGCCCAAGATTTGAGGGGCTGCAAAAGTGTCTTACAGTCACCATAGCTCTGCATCTCCCAAGGCTGTGAGTTTTGTGTTGTTGTGAATCCAAGAATTTCATCCATAGCGCTCAAGGGAAAAGATGGACTTCCTGTCTTCCTTGAGTCATCTCACCATCCTGCATTCCTCCCACAGAATCAGGGATATACCTCTAGAATACAATATCACATAAACAACAGAATGGTGATGGACCAATAGCTCACCACTGGAGTCCAGTTTGACAAGCATCTAGGCTACAACTTTGTTTAGGGGTGGGGGGTGGACACCAGGAGTCTTGGGAAGGTTGGGGTTGGACAGAAGGTTTCAGAAGGTGATGACGGTAAAAGGAGGTAACAAGAGCCTCTACCCACACAGGGAGCTGGGTTCACACACTCTGCAAGCAGTCACCCATGGAGCAGAATCACACTGGTTCTGCTTCAGACACAGCCCTCCATTCTCACGAAGGATGTGATAGTATTTGCACCTTGATGACTGGAAGGGAGGTCTCTGGGGGAAGAATTCATTCATTTTCATAGCAGTGAAGCCTCCGTGTAAGACAATTCAGGGTGTGTATTTCACAATGTTGATGGTTGTTATGAATGTGGAGTCTTTGTTTTGTATGAGATGCTGCAGCTGTGAACTAAGGTGCACCCCCCATTAAGTATTTGTTTAATCATCCTCATTAATCAACATTGTCTATATCCTTTTAAAAGCTTTTTTAGTCTGCATTAATATGATTGAGACAATGAAAAGTTGGTTTATGCTTCTGTACATTGAAATTATGACCTTGAACTGGGCTCCCTAGGAGCAGCAGACTAATCTATGTATTGAGCTTTCATGCAAGGTTATAGCTTCAACTGACTTGTACCTTTCAGCAATAGTTATGAGTGACATGTAAAAAAAACCCTCCCTCTACCCTAGCTGTAGACTAAGTTCTTCAGCACCTTTTGAGAATGCTGACTAATTTATATTCAAGAAGGGAAAGATAAGATATAGAGTAAGATACATTTCATTAAAGGACTCTTTAAAATGGGGTTCTACTGAGAAAAGTGACTATATAAAAATGCCATCGTCTTATTCAACAAATCTTTTTGCTGTGAATCAGTCATATCTGCTGACTGTTCTGACTAGGATAAGGTTTTACTGCCTCTGGCACTGCAGCACTAGACCAGCCTTGGGAAACAGAGTTGGCTTTTATTCTGGATTGAACGTTATGACAAAAATAATTACCTACATTCTAATTGCAGGCCCACGTCCTGCCCTTAGTTCCTTCTCTGCAACTCCTTGGAACTCCAGTTGCACAGGTGTAGAACTTGGCCTACAGGATCTTTGTTACTGATGCTGATCTGAACAGGAAAGAACTTAATTTTCAGGTCCTGGATTACCTTTAGGACACTGGTGATCAGAAAAATAAAACCATTTTTAGTCTGCACTGAGAGTCCTGTATCTGTAGACATGGAGAGGCAATAAACTCAGAAACCAATGATGCTTTTTTATTATAGAATAGAAGATCAGGGTTGGAAGGGACCTCAGGAGGTCATCTAGTCCAACCCCCTTTACTCACTTTTCAGAGTAAAAGCACATTGTAATTCTCACTATAAATGCAGTACTAACCTAATACACATTATCAACCAACATATTGTAAATATGCTAACTAATTTAAACTAATTAATAACCTGGCCATGCAGTGATCTTAACTCAAGTTAGACCCAGGATCCAGAGTTCTTGCCCCTCTTTTAACTCTTACTTTTTGAGTAGTTGAAAGAGGGCAGAGGGCAACAAAAATGATTAGGGGACTGGAACACATGACTTATGAGGAGAGGCTGAGGGAACTGGGATTATTTAGTCTACAGAAGAGAAGAATGAGGGGAAATTTGATAGCTGCTTTCAGCTACCTGAAAGGTGGTTCCAAAGAGGATGGATCTAGACTATTCTCAGTGGTAGTGGATGACAGGACAAGGAGTAATGGTCTCAAGTTGCAGTGGGGGACGTTTAGGTTGGATATTAGGAAAAACTTTTTCACTAGGAGGGTGGTGAAACACTGGAATGCATTACCTAGGGAGGTGGTAGAATCTCCTTCCTTAGAAGTTTTTAAGGTCAGGCTTGACAAAGCCCTGGCTGGGATGATTTAATTCGGGATCGGTCCTGCTTTGAGCAGGGGGTTGGACTAGATGACCTCCTGAGGTCCCTTCCAACCCTGATATTCTATGATTCTATGATTCTCTCTCTCTCAGCTTTCTGTCTGCTCCTCTCTATAGAACAGCCCCATGGTCAGGATAATTCACAGTGTCTGTTTTCAATGTTCAGCATTTCAATGGAGCCTACGTTTACCCCAGCACTATGTCCTTTCTCCTGTCTCCCATATATCTTTGCATTTCCTGATGTTTCTTTGATTCTTTGAAGGTTTTTTTTCTAATTAAGATGATACTTTGCGGTTTTCAAGTCTCAGCCTGAAATTGAAATATGCCTGTTATTTTGCACCATATTTCTGTCCTAAAAAGAGACAGGTGCTCAGTATTGTTAGAAACACAGTACGGTTAGTTGGATATTAGGAAATATTAGGATATTTGGAAAAGGACATTTTCCTTTCCAGCACTTATTCTCTTCTCATTATGGCTTTGATTACTCTAGCATTTCCTAGGAACAGTTTTCCACCTACATTAACTCCAGTTCAATTCTACTGATGGTAGTAATAATGGTGGGAGCCCTAGTGCAGCTAAGGTGCCAGTGGCTGAGTGTCTTACTGCCATGTCATGCCTGTGTACACCAGCACTTGCTCTGGGATGTGGACTTCGCTGTCCATGCAACAACTGTACAAAAGGGCATGGTCTTGTGGATTAGAGTGCATTCCCTCTGACATGGTATACAGTATCAACAGCAGATGAAGGCTGGCAGATGATGGTTGCATATATTGTTCTTTCCAGTTTTGACTGGCTTGATCCCTGTTTCAGAGGAATCACTGGACAGTATTCCTTTTTCTCATCATGCTGGACTGACGAGCAAGGCTCTAATGTCTGACCTGAAGCACACAACCTGCTATGTCAGAATTACAATAAGGGTCTGAATGAAACTGATAAAAATCCGTAGATTCAGATTAAAGTCTGAACCTCTAGCTTAATCCACACGGTTGGGTACAAGTGTTCATGCTGCTTTGAAATACTATGTGCCATATACAGTATATTCCTTGGCACAGCAGAATGTGTTGAGTGACGTTTCAACTTTCTGAATCTTAGGTTTATATCAGTTTGAGACACCCTTAGCAGTAATGTCTGTGGAGCTTTTTAGGGCAGTTAAAAAGAAGGGCTCTTGTGGGAAGTAAATGGGAATTGATAAAATAGTCCAAAGCATCCACATTTTTGTCTACTTTTCCTGTACCCAATAGCCTCCTTCAAAATCACTATAGTCTATGTTGCAAATAGGTATTGAGAGTGTAAATGTATTTTACCTAGCAGACAGCACGCATTCCAAGATTTTGCATTCATGATAAATTCATAATTGGAAATTCTGAAAAAACAAAAAGTGAGTATTTGACTTGATAGATCATAATATCATCCTAGGAACTATTACAGCTTCTTGTGCAATATTTTCCCAGAGACAGCAGGCGTGATAAAAATCCTTCTCAATTTTTTTGTAGAATGGCTGCACGAAAGAAGTTGGATCTCTTAGTAGATTTAAGAAAACCCTCTGCTTTTAAAACTTTTTGAGAGTATGAAAGACTTTGGTTAATTTACCAACGGGCTGTAGGTGTGCACTCAAATTGTGAGTTTTGGACTACGAACATATGTGAATTGAACTGACTTATCTGGCCCTGGGACAGGCTGAAAATGGGACTATTATCTTACTCTACCTTTCCTAATGAACAATAGATCAGTCTTTAAACATGTCCTTTCATATTATGAAATAATGAATTTCAGCTGCTTAAAACTGTGGGCCTACTGGTATGGATGCCACTTAAGTGCATTGCTAACAGAAGATCAAACGATTCACATACAGTCATGAGTTCTTTGCAAGTGACACAGAGGTGACTCATTTGGTTGTGTACATGAGAGAGGAGCTTCCTTGGCTTCAGCATTGCCTTTTAGCAAAGTCCCATCTCTTGGTTGAGCCTAGAGGGCTTTGTCATGAACTTCAGGGGGAAAGGGATGACTGTCTGCATCTTGCCTAAAATGAGGTGTTGAGAACAGCAGCTAATAAACAGAGAGAGAAGGAATAAAGGGTACTATTAAAAGAAATGTAGAGTGACAATTTAAATCAATGAATGTCCAGCAAATAGTGTTGAGTGAGACAGAGAAGATGTGTTTGAGCTGAAAACCTCTATAGTGGAGTTGCTGTGTGAAAAGTTGGCTATACTTAGTCCGTTAAAACAGTGGGTGAACAATAGTAAAGTTAAACAGTTTCCATCATAAATTATGTTTTTCTTGTTGTTCAGGTGAAGCTGAGCAGGAGCTGGGACCCCCTCCATCCGTAGATGAGGCAGCAAACACACTCATGACTCGCCTGGGCTTCCTCCTTGGAGAGAAAGTCACAGAGGTACAGCCGGGGCCCCAGTACAGCATGGAGGTGCAGGATGAGAATCAGGTATGAGATCTCCTTCGGCATTACAAATGTACAGCAATAATTGGTTGGTTGTGATGTAGCACATGAGTTTTTGTAATTATCTCATGGTTGGGTGTGTGATAGAGGTGGAATGATTTTCACAAAAGGACAAAGGTAATAATACCACATTATAAAACTGTGGGTCATAATTACACAGTAGCAATATATGTTTATGGGATCAGCTGATACCATTTGTGGTAGTTTCTGTCATTTTCTGTTTGAGCTGCAAGCTTCGTCAGGGACAATAGCCTCTTACCGTATTAGATAATAGTGATCAAAATAATTTGTATTCTATGCACCTTTCCTGTGAGGCCTTTAAAGTACTTTAGAAACATTAAATAAGCTTCATAAATCCCCTGGAATGGTAGGTAAGTATTATTATCCTAATTTTACAGCTGCTTATATGACTTGCTCATATACACATATTGAGATGGCTCAAAACTGAAAATATATACAAATACCAACTTATTCTTGTCAAACTCTCATTGAACTTAACTCATCTTTCTGGATGTCTCAAGAACAGAGTGGCAGCCAGGCACCGGTTGAACACTAAATTTGATAGGAGTTTTGCCTGAGTAAGGACTTTGGATCCTAGTTCTGTAGTAATCACTCCCAGTCTTCTGCTCTGGACAGTAGACTCACTCCCCACACATGGTAGTGAATAAGCTAAGGACTTATTTCTACCAAACTGAGATGTGATGGGGTGAGAGTGAAAACCAAAAAGAGAGAGTCTGTTAATTGAAGAAGGATGGTCCAAGGGTTAGGATTCTAGCCCGGGACTCGGGAAATCCAAGGTTAATTTCCTGCTCTCTGACAAAGACGTACTGTGTGACCTTGGACAAGTCACTTAGTCTCTATGTGCCTTGGCTCCTTTTGTGAAAATTGGGGCTATTGTGAAAAATAAATAAAGATTGTGAGGTGCTCAGATACGATGATAACGAAGGCCATATTAGTACCATAGATGGAAGTGTGTATTGTTAACAGGCTTATTTTTCTTACCCATTGTCTGAAGTTCCCTTTATTACATCTGCTTTGGTAGGCTGACAAAGCAATGACTGTCTAGCTTGTCTTTGTGATAAAATAAAAGTTCTCATGTAGTTTTTGGTTCCTCTCTGGACTTGACTTGATACTGGAATAATAAATTTGTCTGCATCTCTGAAGTGTGATTGGCCATTTTATATTTTTCTGGTGATTCGGGAAAGCTCCTCTTCTTCAGGCTGAAGTTTTCAGCACCCTTTGCTCTTTGATTTTACACTGCCACTGAACAGAATTTTTCAAAATAAATTCTATAGTTTTTAGCGGTGCAAATCACTATTGAATTTAACCCCTCCTGAATTGTTTTAAGGAGTAAAAGGAAGCTATTACTTGCAGATAGGTGAGTAGCACAGGTGCCAGAGCAAGAGAGGTAAGCTGGATCAGGTGGGTGCAAAAGCTGGAGCAATGGGAGGAGGCAAGTAGATGGGGTAGAGTTGGTAGCTGGAGTTATGGATGTCCAAAGCAGAGTGGCAGCTGTAGATCAGCTAACCTAGAGAGGAAGGAAGCTGTATTCCTTCAGCAGCAGGAGTGAAGAGGTTGTCCCGCAGGGAGACTGGAGAATTTGGTGTGGGAGGAGAGGGCTGGCTCTGTGTTGACATAGATATCCATGAGTGGTTTTGAGCAGTCCGTGGCACAAGTGGGACAAAGAGTTAACATGCTTTTCTCTTTGGAGCAAAGAAAATGGATTTTTGTGAAATGTTTATTCTTTAACACATTTATTAAGTTTTTCATGATTTCACATAGTTTTTTGTGTAAGTTTTGTTGGCTATCTTTGAAATGCACTGTAGAGTACATTGTGTTAGAAAGTGTATTTTTAACAGGCACTTATTTGAACTGAATACTTCAAAGCAGAATAGAGATTTCTACTATAAATGGTTCCTTTTGTTGGCTTTTTTTAATTAAAAAAACCATCTTTTCTGAAAATATTCCTTTTAAGAGTAAGTAAAAGAAAATATCTTTACAGAGACAGCAGTGACAGTTGCACTCTGAAGTAGATTGATATCTTGGGCTCTGCACCAATTTTTGCATGAAAAAGTTTTAGAGGCCCTTTGAACACGATTCATGTGCTTAGTGAAGATAGAGAAGAGCCAAGTTCTTAATTTACCAAGTTAAATTTGTTGTGGGGGTTGTTTTTTGTGAGCAGTGCCTCCTCTGTCAGTGCTGCATATTTCCCTAAAGTCCACATCTAAGCTGCTGATGGCCAGTCTAAATGGAGTCCTGGGGAATTTAATTCAGCCCTTTTAATTTCTCTCCCCTCTGTTCTGAAGGTGTGATTGCAACAATCCTCTTCCGGACAGGAGAACTGTCAAACAGCCTTGGCCAAGTTTGATGTCAGTCTTACTGTATGAATCCACTGGCATTTGTGATTCTCTTACTCCTAACCACATCCCTCTGAAGGCAGGTCTACACTTAAAACACTGCATTGATGCAGCTGCGCCTCTCTCGTGTTTCAGAGAAGACGCTCCTACGCCGATGGGAAAGCTCCCATTGGCATAGTTAATCCACCTCCCCCAGTAGCTATGTCACTGGGAGAAGTTCTCCCACTGACATAGCGCTGTCTACACTGGGGCTTAGTTGGTATAACTGTGTTGTGCAGGAGTATGGGTTTATACAAGTCTGTAGTATAGACCTGGCTGAAGAGTGGGAGTCCTCCTAAGTATTTCCCAAAGTAAAGACCCTTCTGTACTGCAGCACATGTCACAGCTCTGCTGCAATCCAACTAAACTAGCCCTCCAAGAGTTAATTCTTCAGCATAAATCATGATGCAGGGGTGTTGGTGAGGGAGGTTTGCAAAGATGCTGACATCTGATTGCAACTTTGGCTGCCATTATGCACTTGAACTTTAAAAAAGAAAAGCTCTTTCTAGATTTTAATTCATTAGTTTATGTGGCTTGAGCTGTGAAAGCGTCTCTGTGTAAAAAGCTAGAATTAGAGGACTGCTTGCTATTCTGACCATGCTCTGCCCTCTGAAGTGAGAATATAATTATTTGCAATCTCTCCAATGTTGAGGTGAAATGAAGATAAGGAATAGAGCTGTTTTTTAACTAAAACTGTCCCAATCTATAAATCCAACACTTTGTATTTCCACTCAAGTGCTTTATTTTGATTATAGCAGGGGGGACATTTTCTTATCCAAATTGCTTAGAAGTTACAACTTTTTGTATACTATTTCTTACTTGAGCACGTTTTCCTTAATGAGAGATCACATATGTCAAAGAGTAAAATATTTTTCTCCTCTTCACAAACTTTCTTTTGCTTTATTGGCTACTAGTAAAGCAAAGGAATATGAGAGCAGTATAGTAAAGTGTACTTTTTCAAACGCTTTAGTAGAAATATAACAATAAATGTAGCAACAATGTTGAAAATACAGAATTGTCTTATAAATGGAAATGTATATTTAAATTTGGCATAGAGGAATATATGATGAGTATATTTCTGTATCAGTACAAAAATCTCATATATGTCCGTGCAGAGTAATATAAGTTTGAATATTTCCATTAGCATCTTGTTGCTAACTGGCTGCAATAGTAACATTACAAATCAAAGAGGTGATAAGAATATCATTTGGTAATAGCTATGGCACTTCATGGAAGTTGGTGTGGTAATCAGATGGGGAAAGCTGGATGTACCATTGTTTTGCTGCATTTTAATTTGTTTTTAAATATAACTGAGGTCCTATATATCAAGGTGTTTGAGTAGGATTTTATTAGTCATAGTGTTAGAATTGCAGCAAATATTTGCTTGAAATAACAGTTTTAAAAGTGGCATGGAAACCCTCTGCTTTGGAGAAAACACAACACCAGATTAATAACAACACTTGTGACAAAGCTCTGTCCTTGTCTCCATGGGTCCCGCATTTCCTGGCGGATTTCGCAAGCCTCAGAGGCTCACTGTGGCCCTCCACGTAACCCTTCTCTCTCTAGAGACAAGGGTCACGGTCTACTGAGCCATTTTCATCATAAGCCAGCAAGGGAGGTGAGCAGAAGCTATCCTCCCTTGCACAGTCTCTTTGCCTCCCAGTCTCAGTGATTAATCGGGGGGGAGGGGGCAAACGGGGGAGCCCAGGCCCACCCTCTACTCCAGGCTCCAGCCCAGGGACCCTAATAGTATCAGCTATGGTAACTGACCTTTTAGAAACAGGACATGTACAATTCCCTGGGCTACTTCCCCACAGCAGCCCCCCACTTCCTCAAGCTCCACTTCACCCTTCCTCAGGGCCTCCTTCCTTGTACCTGATATGGTGTGTACTGCTCAGTCTCTCCAACAGCACAACTTCCTCCCACAGCTCCTGACATCCATCCCCACCTGACTAACTGGGAGGCTTTTAACTAGTTTCAGCCAGCCCCTGATTGTCTTCAGGTAGCCCAATCAACCTAGCGTTCTCCCTGTCTTCTGGAAAGTTCTTAATTGGCCCCAGGTGTCTTAACTGACCTGGAGCAGCTGCCATTTCACTTATCCTGGTACCAGGGATTAGTTTAGCCTGGAGCTAATATATCTATCTCCCACTACTTTTCTATAGCCATCTGGCCTTGCCACACACTTTACATTTGTATATCTCCTTTCACTCTGCAAGATCCCAAAGATGACATAAAATTTATGGATGACACAGTATTATTTAGGCTAGTTAGGGACAGAGAAAACCATTTGGAACTCTGAAAGGCCCTAACAGAACTGTGCACTTGAGAAACATGGTGTCAAATGCAATTCATGTACTGTAGGTAAGTGCAAGGTATTGCACATTGGAAGGAACCATTTATATTGCTCATATGTATTGATGGATTCTAAGTAATTATAGCAACTCAGGAAAAAGACCTTTGGCATCCAGGACAGCTCAAAGAAAATATCTGTATGACATGCAACAGTGATCCAAAAAGTGAGCCAGATGTTAGGTTGCACTAGGAAAGGAATAGAAATGTTATAGTGTTACTATATAAAATCATGGTGTACCCTGACCTTGAATACTGGCATATAGGTACCGTGTTGCTAGGGGCAATAGAAGTATCTAAGTAAATTAAATTATTTGGTTCTGTTCATTCAGCTCAAAAAGGATTTGACAGAAACAAAAAAGATCCTGAAAAGAGCAATGAAAATATTTTGAGGCGGGAAATATTTCCTTTTGGGAAAAGGTTAAAAAGATAGAAATGTAAATTTTAGAGGGGAGACAAATGAGAGGTGAGAAACAGTACCTCACCTAGTGCTCTAAATGCCCTAATAACAAATATGTGGGTGAAACCAGACAATCACTATGGTCTTGAATGAACTCATACAGGAAAATGATAAAAGACAAAAACACCGTATCACCTGTTGGTGAACACAAAGTGATCACTCTATATCTGACCTATCTATCAGTCCTCATGCTCAAAGGAAATGTATAGAGCGCTTTCAAAAGATGAACCTGGGAGCTTAAATTCATAACTTTTCTAGACACTAATAATCATGGACTGAATAGAGACACTGGATTTATGGTTTATTACAGCAATCTATAACCCAATAACACACCCTCCCAGCTCCCTTCCCCTCCCTTCCTGTCCCCCTAAGATTGGAGGGGTGCTAACCAGCCACTTCACGTTGAATGGTCCCTTGAAATATGTGTTAACTACTTATGCTAAACAATCTGTTCCACCTTATATTTAGCTGTGACACTGAATATGTTTTCCAGACCTGAAGAAGAGCTCTGTGTAAGCTTGAAAGCTTGTTTTTTCAACAACAGAAGTTGGTCCAATAAAAGATAGTACAAGAAAATATGTTTCTTCACAATGTATAATTTAACATGTGGCACTCATTATCACAAGATATTATTAAGGCAAAGAAATCCATAGATCTCAAAGAAGAGTTAACATTTATATGAATAATAAGAATATTTACATTAAACTTACTAGGATTTTTATAAAAGGAATAAAAGCCTTTGTGCTCAGCCACTAGCTGTATTGGTTAGAAAAAAAATTTCTCTGTGTGAGCATGTTGTTACATGTTGTTACATAATTGTCCATTAAGGTGATTTTACACCTTCCTTAGAAGCATCTTTTATTTATCACTGTCAGAGATTGGCTGTTTGTTTAAATGGACTACTGGCAATGCCTGTCTTCGTATATCCACATAAAATAAATAGACTTCATTTTTTAAAATGTAATCCAGAAGGAACCAAAACAGGAAACTATGGTATGAAGTGTATGTGCTTATTAAGAGCTAGGTCAACCTTGCTGAGATTTAACTCTGTAGTTTCTAGGAGACGAAATATTTCAAGACCAGTGCTCTTAGATGTAGGGAAAATTGACACATTAGTCAAGTACTGTTATTTCTAGAGTGTGAAGTATTTAGTTTGCAACATTTGTAGTGTTATATTTATCCATTACTCTTATTGCTGTGTGTTCCTTTTGCAGGGAGAGTAGGGGAACCATGTTGGTTTGTTCCTAATGCTTCAAAACATGATCTGATGGTAGCCACCTAAAAAGATAAAGGAATAAAGAGAATGCAAAAATTTAGCAAATGTTCATACGTGACAACTACTTTTATAAGGAATCAGATCATAAGGGGAATTATAACTAGAGCTGTATGGGAGATGGCTTTCCCATTCTGCAAAACTTTTCAAGATTTCAAAAATGTTCCGGTTTCACATTGGGATGAAACCAAGCCCTTTTGAAGTTTTTCATGAAAATCTAGCAAGAAAGACACCAGAATATCCAATAGCCTGGTGGTTGGGGAAGTCACCTCTGATGTGGGGGGATCCAAGTTCATATCTGTGCTCTGCCAGTCTCCCATCTCCCAGATGAGTGTCATCCTGGCCAGGCTGTTGGCTTTTCTAGGGTTGGGGGTCTCTGTGGTTTTGATCAGAAATTCCATTCTGGACCTGAGAAACTTTTTGTGATGAAAGTTTCATCAAAACTGGTATGTTCCCACAAAAAGTTTCTGTTTTGATGAAAGAACATTTTCTAACAAAAAGCCTCCCCATCAGCTCTAAATATAAGCTGGTTGGAAGTGCCTGGATAGGCCTCCTTTCCACAATCTCTAGGAATTATTATAAAAGCATGTTCATGGTGGTCTGTCCGGGTGAACACCATATACCTGATTCACCACTGTGTTACTCCAATTCTGTGATGGTATATGGTTATGATACAATCATTAGAGTTACACTAGCATAGAATTCGAGTAATACAGTGGTGAATCAGTCCTCATGTTTTTTAGAGTTATGCAATCCCACCTATTGTGCTTGATGCTCCATTTTCCCTCAAATGTCTGGTGATTGCCGTCTGAGTAAGCGAGCATTTTCACAAGCCACAGTGGGATTTCTGTGACAAATTGGATAGCTCCCCTCTAGCTACACATGGGATCTGCCTTCTAATTTAGAAGACAATGAATCTTTCACATGTCCTACTTATAAAAGTCAGTCTCAATCATTTTTCAAGCATCAAGTATATAATGCTTGAAAAGAAAAAGTTAGACTTCAAAGGCCTTCTGTAGTTTGCAAGCACTGTGCTTCAGTGTTTAGTTTTTCCCTGTGATTCCAGGATCAAATGATATTTTTAAAAAGTTAGGTACAGTTTTCTATAACTATTATAAAAATATCCCTTGTAAAATAAGCAAGTGTTCATTAAAGTTAATTCCTATTGAGATTTCCTCCACACCAATAGCATTTTACTAAAAGCAAGACATTACTGTACAAGGGGACTAAATGTTTCAATCGGAAAGCGGGGACAATTGCAAAGAGAAGTAACCATTTACTGCAGTGCTTAGTAAGCTGTTAGGAAATGAAGTCACTTTCCCTTATTGTAATGACATGGGTTTGAGAGAATCAGTCTGTTCAGAGGCTATCAATGGTGCTGAACTACTGAGTGCAACTGGCATATTCTGAGCTGGAACTAAATGTTCTTTTGTGTCTAAAAGCTAATCGAGAGCTCAGGGACTTAGTGGATAAAATACAGGAACTTTACCTTGAGTACTGTGATTGAAGGCTAATCTACAACCCACATGACAGGGGTTTGCTGCTGTCGTCCCCGGTGACCAACAAATTTGAACAGGCAAATTTTATAGAGACAGTAAATAGAAGTTTATGGATGAAAATCTACCCATTGGTACACACACAATTCACAGCGAGGTTGATGGGAGATATGTGAGTCTGAGGGCAGAATTAGCTCCTTTTACAGAAATTCTAGCCTCCCCATAACTACTGCAATGTCCATGAGCACCACTAGCACTTGAAATATGAAGCCTTCCTTTAGGGATACTAAGTATATCAGGTTTGTTTCTGGTGGGATTCATTTGCACAATTTCTTATAGATTCTTTCAGAAATAACTTTTAAAACACAATCTTTTTCATGCTGCCACATTTTTGCCTTGTTTTGCCTTGCAAAGTCGATATTTCACTACTGTAAATTCTGAAAAGTCTGCCTCTGGTGTGGAAAGGATTTCTTCTGGGGGAAAGAATTTCTTTCATTTAGATGTGGGACTTGGCACTTCCTCTTTCAGTGTAAAAGCATTGTTATTTTTCTTGAATGGAAGAAACATTCACAAAACAAAACTTGCAAGCCAACTGAGATTTCTGACCAGATGGAAATGGCACAGATTTCCTGTTTGTGTTATTTCATGCCATAAGCATTAAGTAAAGGTCCGATCGTGCAGTTTAATTGTCACCAGGAGTTTTCTTTGCTTGTATGGAAAGTAAAAGTTTTACCTCATCATTCTAGCCAGGTAATATTATTTTGTTTTGTTTTTATCACAGCTTAATACTAATAGGGAACAAAATGCTAAAATTTCCTGACAGACTTTGACATAACTTCACCAGGTTTCCTGTTGAATTCAGAACTGAGGATCTTTCATTTTTACAGGCCGTAAAAGAAATTAAAACCAAATTGTCAATATTTTTACATTTTTCACAGAGGCTGAGCATTGTGGTATTTTCATTTTTAGCAGTAAAACATATGTTGTTCTTTATTCTACAGGGTAAATTCTCTAGTGTGAGCTATAGATACATTTTTTCACAGTGATTGATCGTGATGAGTGATGTGTTCCTGGTTTCAATTTTTCAGACCTCAGCAGTAACACAGCGGATAAGTCCCTGCTCCACGCTGACCAGCAGCACTGCCTCACCACCAGCCAGCAGTCCTTGCTCCACCCTCCCTCCAGTCAGTACAAATGTTACAGCCAAGGATTGCAACTATGGGGCTGTTACCAGCCCTACATCTACTCTGGAAAGCAGAGATAGTGGTATCATAGGTGAGTAGTGTTCTCTCTCTCTCTCTCTCTATTTCCCCTCTTCTCTATTCCCCCACCCACTCCCAAATGCAATGATTCTGTTTATTTGTTTAGCAGGTGCTGCTTGAGAGTAAGTTTTTGGGTCTGTCTTTATGCTATGAAACAGGCCATGTTAGCATTATTCAGATTTATGCCATTTAAGTGGGTGGAAAGGATTGTTTCTTTTTCGAGTGCTGGTCCCTCTTTGTATTCCACACGTAGCTATGCATGCACCTAAGAATAGAAAATCTTGCAAGTAGTGTCCATTGTTCTGTGCCTGTGCCCTGGATAGAATCATAGAGTATCAGGGTTGGAAGGGACCTCAGGAGGTCATCTAGTCCAACCCCTGCTCAACGCAGGACCGATCTGCAATTTTTTTGTCCCAGATCCCTAAATGGCCCCCTCAAGGATTGAGCTCACAACCCTGGGTTTAGCAGGCCAATGCTCAAACCACTGAGCTATGCCTCCTTATGTTCAGCACCACTGGTATCTGGGGATGTGCAGACTGACCGACTCTCCAGTTCCTTCTTACTACTAAATGGCCTGAGTCAGAATTCTCAGAAGCTAGCCTTGCATTGTCTTCATCTCTGTCAGTATAAGTGTATATAGCTTATTGGTGTTAATAGTGTTTTATAATATTTATTCAATTAGTGTAGCTTAGTTTTCCCCACCCTGGGGACTCATCCCCCCCTTTCGGGAATAGGACTGTGTCTTGAATTCCAGGATTTAAAAACTGTATCTGTTATCCTCACTCCTTCTCAATCAGCAACATCACCAGCACCTCCTTTACTGCCTTGGCAAGGCGCATATCTCCACCAAGTGCTGTATGTGTCACTCTTTCCCAACCTGGACGTGAGAGGGATGAAAGCTCTGACCAAGGAAGCACCTCACAGAGAAAGCCTTGAGACCCCAATCAGATCCAGGCTTCAGAGATCCCCCATGCACTGGTTTCAGTTCTCAAGCAGCAAGAGCTGTGGAGCAGAGGCTAGAGCAGATGACTTTAAAGACCCGTTGTTTCAGGCTTCCCCGTGAGTGTAAGGGACACTCTCAGAGATATACAATCGTCTAAGCTTGCTTCCAGGAAAAGGGATCCCTCCCCAATTCCTTCCAAGTCAGGTGAGTCTTCACATGCAGGTCTGAAGGACTTAGGTCTGCCCAAGACTCCCAACCAGCAATGGAAAGCACACAGGAGCAAAGCTCCAACAGTACGAGCTCTGGTACCGACATTTGTGCCAACCGTGGCCTCTAGCAAGGCAAAGGGCCAATATCAAACAAGCTCTAGATGGGACACTGTCTCTGACAGCACTGGTCTGGCCCCATAAGGATCCACCAACCACTGAGTCTGTTGTGGCGCTGGATCCTGTGGAACCAACACCTAGAACCCATCTTCTGCAGAAACAAATGAGGGGCAAAATCCCTTACACTGTGCATAGAGGAAGTTGACTTACAGAACTGGTGTGTCAGGAACCACATCACAGTTTCTGAGAAGTACTTTCCGGGGCCTCAGAACTCATTGGCAGACAACCTCAGTAGGCATTTTGCCACTGATCATGAGCAGAAATTACACAGTTCAGTGATGAACATCTTCACGCAGTGGGGAATGCATCTTGGGACCTGTTTGCCTCCCAGATGGATAAGGAGTTCAAGGTATATTGATTCAAAGCAGCTTAAGGTTTGTACTCCAGGGAAGTTGGTGCAACTGTCCTGGACAGGCAACTTAAGGTATGGGTTCCCTCCCATCCCTCTACTACTCCAGGTTCTACGGAACATTTGTCACAACAAAGCATGAGTCATTCTCATCGCACCCAGTTGGCCCAGAGATTTCTGGTTTCCAGACCACCTATGAATGTCAATCCATCAGCACTCAGTCCTTCCCAGATTTGCTGGCTCACGAGAACTGCAGGATCAGAAATCCCAACCTGGACTCTCTTCATCTCATGGCTTGGCATTTGGATGGGCATCAGACCTAGAGTGTTCATGTTTGGAGACTTAATAGTTCAAACTACTCATAATCACAGCAGGAAAGAGTCTACCAGAAAATGTTTAGAGCCTGGCACGGATACAAAAATGTGGATCCTCATCTGCCAGAATCAACCCATGATCCAACTTGCGATCCGCTAGCCATCTTTTACCTGTATCCGCACCCATAGCAGCAAGCCGTCTCACAAGGGCTAGCAATGGGGATGGGAGGGAAGGGAGTGAGTGGGGAGCGAGGTCTTGCAGGGAAGAGGCAGAGTGAGGGTGGGGACTGGGGGTAAGGGGCAGTGTGGGGGCGGGTTCTCAAGGGAGTAGGGGAAAGGTATATCGCATCACGTGCTGCTCCTGGAGGCTCACGAGCAATGGCACACGGCATCAGCAGTGCGTGATGCATCACAGTGGGGCAGAGGGGTGGGGTGCTGGCGCCCCGCCTGCTCCAATCCCCGTGGCCGGGACCTGCTGCCCAGGAGCCGGCAGGCTGAGAGCATGGACAGTGCTGCTGAGCCGGGCCTTGGTGGGAGTGCTGGCGCTGCCTGAGGGGCCCGAGCCGCTGAACAGGGAGTGGCACAGCAAGGGGGTGCAGGACAGTCCTGACTCCGACCTACCCCCGCCACCCCCAGCCACTGGCTGCTGGCCACCAGCTCCGTGTGCTTGTGCCCCCTGGGCTGCCACCACTGGTGAGTACAGTCCTGTGCGGTTGTATCTGCATCCGCTCCACTATCCGCAAACATGGTCCGCGGATATCCACAGATTTGGAGGGCTCTAAAACCGTTATCTAGCCAAATAGAGGCAGTTCTCTACCTGGGCACAACAGAACCAGTGTCATCAAGAAGCGTGTTGGTAGTTGTAGAGAGAGACTCAAAGAGCTCAATCGATTTAATTTAACAAAAAGAAGGATAAGGGGTGACTTGATTATAATCTCTATCTACATGGGGAACAAATATTGAATAGTGCGTTCTTCAGTGTAGCAGAGAAAGATATAACACAATTCAATGGTTGGAAATAGAAGCTAGACAAATTGAGACTGGAAATAAAACGTACATTTTTTACAGTGAGGGTAATTAACCATTGGAACACTTTACCAAGGATTGTCATGGATTCTCCATCACTGACAATTTTTAAATCAAAATTGAATATTTTGCTAAAAGATCTGTTCTTGGAATTATTTTGAGGAAGTTCTATGGCCTGTGTTATGATCACAATGGTCCATTCTGCCCTTGGAATCTATGAATGTAGAAATCAGGACCAGTAGGTATTTTTGCTGATACAGACTACCGCCTCATTCTCAAGACGTTGGGTCTTTCTCTTAGCTTGCTGTGGGTCTGCCTAGCAGCAATTAATGCCTTCCATTCTCAATAGATGGCTATTCTATTTTTTCTTCCCCAGTAACAAATGTTGGCCACTTACTCGATGTTCCACCTGTCTATGAAGGTGGCCATCCTGGCTGCCATTATGTCAGCCAGGAGTGTGGATGATCTTTTGGCCCTCTTGGCTGTTCCATCACACACTACGTTTCATAAAGAAAAAGTTGCTATAGCAGAGTGAGCAGGGGGACAAGTGACATCTTCTCAGAGACTCTCTAAGTGGATTTCTAGCTGTATCCTCCTTTCCAATCAGTTGGGGAATTTCTCTCCCCCAAATGGGGTGAAGACCTATTCCACTAGAGCACAGGTGAGCTCAGAAGCATCTCTTTGGGTTGTACCTATGCTGGACATTTGTAAGGCAGCAACCTAGAATTCCATCCACACCGTCCTGAAGCATTTTGCTTTGGTCCAAGCCTCTTCTGGTGGCACAGCCCTTGGAATTGTAGTATTACAGACATCCATACCATCTGCATTCTCGTACCTAGCTCCGATTTCAGTACTTCTTGCCTGTCATCCATATGTGTAATACACACTGAGATAAGCCCTTGAAGAAGAAATGGAGATTGCTTACCTGTAACTGGAAGTTCTTTAAGATGTGTGGTCCCTACATTTATTCCACTACGTGCCGTCCTTTCCCTCAGCTTCAGATCAAGACTGGATTCACTGTAGAGAAGCAACTGGAAGACAGTCCAGGACCTCCCGTATACTCTCAGTGCTGAACACAAGATCCAGGGAGCAGGCGTAGATAAGCGAACACTACTTGTAAGATTTTTCCAGTCTCTGGTACACACAGAGCATGTGAGTCATTGTGCTAATTTGGTTGCATAGTAGGTTTGGTGGTCCAATAAGGATGTGAATAAGGTAAAGATGGTAGGTCTTGGTGCCAGACAGTAGCCTCCCACTTAGGAGGCAGGTCCAGGTCCTCCTAGTTAACACGAGTAAGTTTAGATAAGTGAACAAAAAACAAATCCTGTTTTTCTGCCCCTTTCTTCTCTCTCTGGCAGTTGATCTATGGCCATCATTACAAGCGCCCTGTCACTGTCTTAGGACCCCGGGCACATTTCCAAGGTGCAGTTTTTCTATTTGGCATCCCCTCCTCAGAGGTGCAGCCACCTGCCCATTCCTTAGAACTAGTGCTGACTCCTCAGACACCTGCCCCCTGTCTGCCCAATAGCTTAAACACACCATCTCCCAGAACTCCAGCTTTGTGGTTTTTGATCCCACAGTTTGTCTCCTCAAGGGGCACAATGAATAGTGTAATACAGATAACACACAGACTTTGCACAGGATTCTAAAACCACTGCTATTTACTTAGTTGCACAAGAAAGACACAGACCAACACAAAAATAATAAACCCTACATGCATTTCCTTGCCTCCATTTCCTCATCACTCCAGAGCACTCTTTGGGCTGGGGTCAGAGTCATCTGGGACTGTCCTGAGTCCTGCTGTAGCGCATCGCTTATGTTCTGAAACATGGTACCTTCTCCCCAGCTTGCCTTCTCTGGTTGTGACCTGTCTGCAGTTAAACAGGATACTCACCTCTGTCCCCACTGTGAAAGTAAACTATCTGTGAGCCTCTCTAGTTTATATCTCCCACCACCAATACCTTTGTCTCTTTGTCCTATTGGTAACTTTCCACT